AAGAAGTTGAGTTGGTATTTTGTGTGTGACCGATGCTCCGTAAACCCAGAATGTTTTTCTATTTTTCCTACCAGCTCAAATCTTAGCATATTGTTCCAGGAAGTTGTAAACGTAGCCTGACAAGTAAACCACTGGGCCNAAACTATGTAACACAGTTGTTTACACTTAAAAAATATTTGACCAAAGAAAAACTAGAGCAGGACTAGAGAGAGATGAATATGATTTAGATTTTTATTTCTGTGTTTGTATACGACCCACAGGAGACACGACATTAACAGCAGTCATCATTTCATCCCTTGGCTTTWGCAGCTCCTTTTAATTCCACAGCTGACGCTGCTAAAAATGACAGATTTTTTTTCTGGATCTCTGAGAGCAGGACTTCAATCTCACCTTATGAACATTTTAAAGACATCTACATTGAAGAAGGAATTGAAAAAATCATCAGGAAGCTTCTTTTCGGCGTCTATATAATGTAATTCAAACAAATTGATCAAATATATAACTTTTTTTTAGCAATTTAGACATAAAAATGTTTCATAAGTTGGTATAAATTTTGTAGTGCGACAGGGCCTTATAGAAGGCAAAAAAACAGAATGGATGGCGTTAAACAGAACGGCGTTTAAAACACACTGTTTTGTTGTTTTGTAAGAAGTTGCATTGGTACAGTAGTTTGTGTCTATCAGACCAGATCTGAAAGTTAAATGTTAACAAAACCAGGAATGTTTGACCAAGTCAGTGAGTTTGGGATTTACAGAATTCATTGTTACAGATTCTTGGGGTTCTGTATGAAATGATGTGTAAAAGGAAACAGATGTTAAACAGCTGGAAGACATAAAGTTAAGTGTTGGGAACAATCTGTTCTTTACCACCAGTCATGAGAAACTGGAGCACAACCCAGAACTACAAAAATCTCTCACCTAAACTTGTTCTTATTGATGTAAATTCATTCTAAAAGTCTAAATGGGAATATTGAGTTTTCCCACAGATTTGAGCCTAAACCTTTACAAAGTGTGTAACTATATTAAAATATGGTAATTTTTGAGCTCATTTTTTTCAGAGGCCCAAACAGCTTTTTGAATCATTTGAAGCTTGAGTTTGGCCCCTTGTTGTTCACTTTTTGTAAGTTTTTATAAGTTAGAGAAATTTGTGTGATAAACAGGTTTTGTTGTGATAAAAAGGCAAGAAAACTCTGAATTATTATTTTTTTAAGTCCGACAAAACAATGATAACAATTCGTTTTGGAGTAAAGAGAAACTGTTTTGTTGTAGTTAAGTGTTAAGCTTTCATATTTAATTGAAGGAGAAGATAAAACCAGTTAGGGCTGCACCGATTAGTTGAAATAATCGATGATGTCGATTTTATGTAAATTTGTCGACGCAGATTTTTTATTATCGATTGGCTGTATTACATAACCACCACGTGAATGTTCATTGCGACTGTATTGGCATAAGAGTGGTGAGTTTTCCATGCTTGTCCTGAACGCAGCATCGCGCAAGAGCGTA